CGATGGTCCTGCATTGCGGCGGGTTGCAGGGCGGCACAACTTGCCCCAGCAAGTTGCTGCTGTTGACTGGATGTGGCCACCAATCCTCCTCAGACCACTGAAAGTGGCGGGGGAAAAAAAAAAAAAAAAAAAAAAAAAGAACCCAGCACCTATGCATTGGTAGGTTCGTGGTATGGCCACCAATCCTCTGGTATGGCCGGCTCGTGCCCTGTTTTCTCGTCTGGGATGAGGCTCCAGGGTCGGATTATTGTCGAGGGAGGGTGGCAGTAAGGGTACTGGTTGACTGGATGTGGCCACCAATCCTCTTCAAGCCACTGAAAGTGATGGCAACGGGAATAGAACCCAGCACCTACGCGGTGCCGCTCAGGCATGAAACCTACTTTTCTAAAAACAAAAATGGGCTAACGGCCCCTAAACATCATTGTATTCATCTGTGTCCATAAGGATTCAAACTCGTGACCTGTTTATTAACAGTTGTCCGGGCTGAAAGGTACCCCAAATACAGGCATAACAATGACCATACGTGTGGCACACGGGCCCCAGTTAGGGCCCGGTTCTGTAGTAGGCACGGTTTAGGCCTAGTTACAGGGTCCAGGGTCCGGTAGGCCTCGTTTGGACCCCACCAGACCCAACGGCTAGTTAGGCCAGATACCGGTCCATTGGTAGGACCGGCCGGCGGCGCAGTTTAGGCGCCACTCTTCAGATTCAAAATCGGATCTGAACCGTTGGGCCTGATCAACGGTCCAGACCCGAAGGCCCTCAGTAGGACTGAGGCCGACCCAGCACTATATCAGCTGGGTACCAGCCTCAGTCGGTAGGTTGGTCGACAGTCAGTCTGGAGGTTAGGCTATGAGTTAGTCTACAAGATTAGTGCAGCGTTTCAACGTTGGAGAGATTAGCGGAGCAGCAAGGAGGAACAGCGCAGCAGCGAGCTAGCGCAGCAAGCAGGAGCAGCGCCGACCCTCTGGCCCGGCCCGCGGCCCAGCACCCAGCCCTGCAGCGCCATCGCCATCGCTGCACCGCCAGGTACCAGGGAGAAAAGGCCCGCCTTTCCTCCCTCTTCCTCCTCTGCTCTCTCACTCTCTCTCTCTCTCTCTCTCTCTCTCCCTCTCTCCCTCTCTCCCTCTCTCGCTCGCTCTCTTCTTACCCTCTGAGTCTCAGTCTACTCTCTGGTCGCTCCTACTGGACTATTACGACTATGGAGGATGGTTACGAGTTCTGATGACAGTTGAGATAGTAACATTGAGACATTGGTTGAGGACTACTTCAGGGATCCGACTTCATCTACTTCTGGAGATGTATCTTGATATTGGGAGATCGACATCTGGGACACCGTGAGACTCTGTTTTCACGACATTTCGGATTTGCATTACTTATGACTTTCGAGATACTATTTCTGGACTCATGGTGTTGACGTCAACCTCCCTCTCCTCCTTCATCTCTCCTCTCCCTCCATTCGTCCGTGTATGATCTTGGACCCTGGCCTTTTCTTCTGTGTCCAAGACCAGGGCTTTCACACCACCGATGTATGTTTGTGAGTGTTCCGTTGCAGTCTGAGTCAGGTCTGAGTCAATCCATGTATCTCAAGTCTTCTGCTGTATTTGTATTAACTCTGTATTATCTGGTCGGTTCTGGGAATCTGCACCATACTTATGACTGTGTTTCACGAGTATGCAACAATACGTCTTATTGGGGGGGGCGGATGGTAGTGTTCGATGGATGCCATACGACGGGTTCGTGGTATGGCCGGCTCGTGCCCTGTTTACTCGTCTGGGGTGAGGCTGCAGGGTCGGATTATTGTTGAGGGAGGGTGGCAGTAAGGGCACCAACAGTTTATAGCACATCGCAGGATTGTAGTGAAGTCTTCTCCCGCTGAAGTTAAGGTGTGTGTGGCCTCTGTCATTCACAGTGCACAACTGCATGTCAAGCGGCCAACGGATCTCAGGCCTCTTTCGTCACAACTGCAGAGCTGGGGGGGGGTAGCCTTGCTCTTCCTGTAATTTATTGACTCTCTGCTTCTTGAGGACATGAGGACGGCTAAGCAACAAAGTTGTTGATCACTGTTATTCTTGTTTCTACGGAGTTCGTGTTTAGTGAACATGACAGCAGTTTTTGTTTCTATGGAGTTGTGTTTAGCGAATATGGAAATACTCATGGCGGCATCTGGGGCCCTCCACATCGAGAGGAGAGGTCAGTAGCAAAGCAGTATCATCACAGCCCATAGATTGTGGGGATGATAGCAACAGGCGGGAATAGATGGTAATGTATGTCCTCTCTGTCGCCAAGGACAGACTCATTCTTGAGCCATTTCTTATCCTCTCCTTCGCCTTGATCTTCATTCCACACTCCGTACTTTCCCTTACTTTCCCTTTGTCATTCTTTGTTTGTCTCCTCCCCATCTCTCTTGTCTGTGACAGTGTGTGTTTATCCCCTCCCTCTTTTCTCTGCCTCTTTCTCACAGTGTACAAGTGGGACTGGGATGCGGACAGCTCGCACTCAAGTTCATCAACGTGGCAAGCCTTGTACGTGAGAGGCACGGTGAAGGGGAAGTTAAAAGAAGAATGAGAAAAATAAATGATTTCAGTGTGCCCTTCATGTTGGGCTTGTTCTTTTGTTTTTACCGTTTCGCAAAGGGTGCTTTTAGTTCGTAGATATGTGATGATATACACCAAAAAAAA